TTTTTTTTCTGATGAAAAAAAATATTTCGTGATTTTCTGGGTGCAATCGGATCTAAGCTAGTAGCTGTGGTTCTGGAGTTTCAAAAATGGTGCCGCCGGAATAAGCTTATTCCAGCTTGGACAATGAAACACCTTAATAACTTCAAAACGGCATAACCGACTAAATCACTTTTTTAAATTGCAATCAGATCTAAGCTACGTGTTGTAGTTCTCGAGATTGAGAAATGGTGCCGCTGGAATAAGCTTATTCTAGTGTGGACAGTAGAACACCCTTATAACTTTTGAACGGCGGACCGACTAAATCTGGTTTCTTGCGACTAGAACCGACTAAATAGCGACTTTTTATATGGCTACTCAAATTTCAAAGACTACCATGGTACGCTGGAATAAGGCACGCAATATTAAAGATAATAAACGGGGAGTAATATAAAACAATAATACCATAGTAGTGGAACAATTTTTTTTCTATAGTATTTACGATAAGTACAACAATGAAATAAACTGCATTCGGTAGTAAATCTTTTATTCAAGGGTGCCATTACAGAACTTTAAAAATTTTACTAGTAAGGTAAAACTCGTGATTTAGTCGATTCTAATCTGAAAAAACTTGTGGGACTAAGCTTACCTGGGTTCCAGTGCACATAGTCGGGCGTGGCAGCAGCCTGGTACTCCTGCACGAGATCGTCGACGACACCGCGCGACTCGTCGAACTCCTCCAGCGATTCCTTGAACATCGGCTCTTTGCGGAACACTTCCAGGAAAGCTTCTCGTTTGCGGAGTTTGTCGTATTGTTGTAGACATCGATCGAACAGCTGCCGATAATGCGCATTTGTCTCGTTAGTTTACAATAAATGTTAGACCAATGTTTTGTACATTTAGACTTATTCAATGCAAAATACACACTCAAAAACTTCTAGAGATCAAGGTGTTTAGGATAAAATATTTCATGACCCTATTAAAGTTAAATAAAAATATCTATATACATTTATTAAATTGTTTATTCAGTTATTTATTTATTTTGATATTAAAAAATGTCTGATTTTCAGTAATTCGTGCTTGATACCTAGACACTTTACATGTGTGTAAATTAAATTTCATTTCTGTATTACGTACTCTAACAATACCTAACGCGAATTTTCCACGAAGCGGCTAGTCGTGGGATGCTGGTCGCGTGCGACTCTTGTTTATTCAAATAAGTTATACCATACGCAGCCGCGACTCTGAAGTAAAACTAGCCGCTACAGCTGCGGTCGCTCCCGATTAGTCGCTTAGTGGAAAATGGCACTTAGAGGGAATGAACATGGTGATCTGTAACAGGTTCCCAACCTAGTAGAGACTCCAACTCTTTCTCTAAGAAACTTGTTTTAAAGATTGTAAGTACTCATAGACCTTTTTGAGGGAAAATAAACCATATTTCTGTTATGATTTTTATTCCATGAATGTAGATAGGGTATGCACTGCAGTTAAGTCATTTAACTAAACAGTATTAAAAATCTACTAAACTAACAGTATATTTTTATTCTAGTTGTGGACATGGCAATACTTGAAGCTATGTATTATAATCTTTTATTAGTGCAGAGCGTACTGCAGTCGGAAGTTCATTACTGTTATTTCGCGTATGAGACTTGGCCATTGTTTGGTTCCGACTCATCTGAATAGAATAAAGGTCCTAAATAACATATGATGTCCCCACTGCACTGAAGAAGAAGCAGATTTACAGCGTATTATTTACAACTTCTTCTTCACACAACAACCAACGGTCTCTTCTTTTGAAAGACACAAGTGACAGCGACAGTTATGTGCGAAACCAAGTCAGTGTTCCCCACCGCGTTCAGGACTTACTATCTAATAATGAGTTTTTTATCCCACTTTATAAGTTTATTATAAGTACAGTAGAAAAAAAATAATTCTTAACATCCTATTTATGTAAATAATTACTTAATTCAAATTAAGTAACTATGTACATAAATAGGATTAAATAAGAATTAAACTAAGTTCTAAGCTTTTGTTTTGTTTTTATTAATTTTTTTATTGTTAAAATGTTTTAGACTGAAAGACTTTGTATCCAGGCCATGCAATAAATAAATAAAAGGTATAATCTTTTGCAATTAAAGAATAATAGTAATAAAATTAAGTCCTCGCCGTTTAAAACATCGAGTATATAATCATAGTCGATGGTCTAAAACTACGTTGACATCCTTTGTTTCTTACGTAAAAATGGCAAACTTTAATGAATAATTTTTCATTTCATAATTAGAATTTATAAAAAAAACCTTTATTAAATATCATGGTTTGACTACCTGAGTATATGGAATGGTATGTTTCGGAAATGTAATTTTGAAACAGGAAGTCTACGTCACGTAGACCTCCAATTTCAAAAGTCTTGTTACCGGAATTTTCGAAATCACAGCGAGTCTCAATTTTTTCCTATAAAAAGCAACAAGACTGCACGCCCTAGTATGTATGGACCCTATTGTCAAATATGTAATATAATATCTTACCGACGATATGTTGGTGTGATTGGCGAGCAGCAGCCCGGACACTTTGTGCGACGCGTGGACGTAGGGCGAGCGACGAGACAGCGCCACCTGGATGGAGGCGGGCCCCCAAGGGATGAACGAAGCCAGCTTGCGCTCGCGGATGCGTTGCAAGGACTTGTGCACTTGCGAGGGGTCCACCTCGCCCTGGTACACCAGAGGGAGTTATTTATAGCCTCAGGCGCTACTTTGCGGAAATCCGTGTTAATAAAATATATCAAGTGACGGCACGAACAAGTCGTGTGTCTGATGGTAAGAGTTTTAAATCGCAAAGATCTGAGGGGCACTGCCACAACACCGGCCACCCGGAGACATAAGTTGACAAGTTCCAAGTGCTTGTAATTTCACCAGTACCATTAGCCTTCAAAACCGAAACGCAGTAATGCTAACATTACTTATTTGTCGGCAGATAGGTAAGATGGCATTACTTCCCTGGGCGAACTCTTTCACAAGGAGCTCTAAACTCTAAGTCGATTATATTACTCAACTACTGTGCGAATCCTTTAGTGTGTATAAAGTTTGAAATGTTTGTGTGTATCTGCGTGCGTGCTTGCGTGTGTTCGTGTGCGTGTGTGAGTTGGCGTGTGCGGGGGTATTTGGGAGCGTGTGTCTGTTGTTGTTGATTTAAAAAATGTTAATTGCCTACTACTTAATATCTAATTCTTATTTACTTAAATATAAACGTTACTATTTCATATTCCCACATTTTTGTTCAGTTAAATGTGCCGGTGTGTATAGTATAAACAAGGCACATTGTTGAGGGTACGTCGATTATTTATTATAAATTTCATGTTACCTGGATTATGTTTAATATTGATATGTAACAATGCTGGTTTGTTCTGTCGGGGCTGAGCGACACCATCATATTTTTTGGCTGCAGCAATCTTTGCATTACATCTAGTACTGTCGTTTTACGTATCTTTGGTGCCTGTAACCAATCAAATTGTCAATTTATGAGTTAGTATTGTGGCTCTTGTGAAAAGGGGTACAAGTAAAAAATGCCAATTTTACAAGGAAACGCGAAAAACATTTAACGCTTACTATCATACATGGAGTATATAACCAGAAATAGAGACGAAATAAGGACCATCCATCCCTGGCAACTCATCAGTCAAATAGTACTGATATCACTTTTAAATATCAACTCTCGTTTGCGCCGAAATCACAAAATTAGAAAACTGAAATAGTACAGCGCCAACAACTGACCTGTGTGTACGTCTCCGTAACACACAGGTCAGTTGTTGGCGTATTAAAAAAATATTCTGTATTTATTGTAATAAAGATAATATGTCTAACTATGGGGGGTTGTTCCATTCGGTGATGTGGGAAAAACAGCAAACCATCTAATTACAAAACAAACGAACTCACACTTCATCGGTAGTTAAACATTATTAAATATCTTAGAATAATAACGCATCGAATGATAGTTTCATATCAAACGAACTGTCACAAGTGAGGCAAAAAGCAAATTCATGTAGGCTAGTTTTAGTAGCAAGTTAATTTTCGGTTTTAGTGAATATTTATATAAAAATACAAATTGAAACGCGATACTTCCTTGTGGAATGTGATGTTAGTATCTATTTTATGTTTGTCTGACGTATTTTTACACTCATTTACCGCACATTTCGTCATTTTTAGCTAAAATTCTTGATCTGTTCGCGGTGCAAGTTGACCTTGAGCACTGAAGGCCCGCCCGCTCGTGTAGGCCCTTTTGGCACGCTTGAATTTGCCTCACTTAGCGTGTGCGGACTAGGTTTCTATGCGTTATTATTCTAAGTTAAATATGTAATTTTGCAATTTTCGTCCATTACAGCAAGTTAAACTGCTCGATATGAAGTGAAACAATTGACGACACCCGTCAATTGTTTCGAATTCGGGCTGGCCAATCGGAGCGCAGTAATGATTTGGCATAATAGTTTTCAAACAAATTAAATGACATTTCGTCTCTGTTTCTAGTTATAACTGTTTTTCGCGTCTTTTTTGGCTTATACCTACTCCTTTTCACTAGAGCCACAGATATGTAGTTTTAGACCGTCCTCCTAAAGGCTTGCATGCAAATGTAAAGAGTGTTTATGATTAGAAATCAAACTATTTTTTCGGATGTAAATCGCATAATATTATGTTTTTTCAAACAAACCAACGTTCCGTGCGTAGATACTAAAAAATAGGTAGTTTAATATCCAATGTACACACAAGAGTACATCAAGTTTGACACTTTGTTCTTTGGACTATTCTTATAGTAAGCGGTATAGGGTTGGATTTAAGTCTCAAGTGTCAAGCTTGACGTGCTCTTGACCCTGTACTTACACTTGAAGTGCTTTTAATTTCTTTTCTTGAAATGTCAATGAAACAAAACATCACCGTAAATAAAGTTTTTGTATTGTATTCATTGACTTACAATTATATGGACGTCGGGTCCGCGCTAAAAAGTGTCCGCACTTGTAAGGCGCTAAAATCGTATACAGAGCGCGACAATCCGCTTTAGTCTTCATTTGTTCTACGGACAGCGCGATACTGCGATGACATAACAATTTAAATTTCGAATAGGTTGACTTGGGACATTTTTTTCGTGGTTTTTGTATTAGACCCGTCGTCCATTTATTTGTAAGTCAATGATTGTATTGTAAACTAACCAATCACGGTGCCAACTACGTAGTGTTGGGTCACGAAAAAATTTCCATTTTGAAAAATTCACATTTTTCAGAAAAACAAATATTAATCCTATATTTTTCCTCATGTGACAGTTGACTCCTGCAAAAGTTGCAAATACAAAACGAAAACGATGGAGCCATAGATAAAGATTTTTTTACAAAGAATTCTTTTTTTTAAGTAATCGTTTTCAATCTCGTTTTAGTCAACTTGCTTTTAGCTATACAATTTTATATTATAATTTACGCAAAATAAAACTTCAAAATATATATCTAAACATAAAACATAATATGAGCGGCCGAAATGTATTTTCCCCATTTCTTAAAAAAACATCCGGAAAATTATTCAACAGTACATCTTACAGTAAGTCGTAACTAACCACCTATTGGCTGGTTTCTTGACATTATCAAAAAAGCATCAAATCGAAGAAGACTAATTTTATTTAAATGTGAATGTCAATTTACATAATCCACCAGGTGCAACACTCGCTACCTACTGTCAAAAAACTGACCAATGGGGTAGCCACTTGGTGGTTCCTGATTGGTAATTTTCTTGACGTCTTTTTCTTCGCCGGAAACCGCATTTTTTTTAAATCGCACTTAACAAGCGACTTATATAGATGCATGTTACAAGTACTTGTAATAAATATATCGCTCCCCTCGTGGAAGAATTGCATAAGTGGAGTTACGTCAAAGATTGTTCCATTAGATACAGAAAAATATAACACATATCCTCTCCAATTCTTGTCACTCTATGTAAAATATTAATCGATAGGGTTACAAGAATTGGAGAGGATGTGGAATATATGTTTCTGTATCTAATTGAGCAATAATGTTTTTGAGTTAACTCCACTTATGCCATTCTTCCATGAGGGGTGCATTAATGTACCCCTTCTTGTTTTTAAATTTCAATGGGTTTATCACTCATAGATATACAAACAACACTGTTTTCACAATCAATACTATAGAAACATTGTATGTATATGTTACTTACGGTGGTTTGTTCGAGGTCTGCTGTGAGGGGCGTGTATCCTGTCATGAGGAAGTGGAGCCGCGGTGTGGGGATCAGCGGCGCCACCAGGCTGATAAGGTCGTTATTCATGTACGACGGATACCTAAGTGGCACATATTAAAATATTTAATTTGACAAGTTTTTAAGACTGATGTTCATTAAACACGTCCTTGGTGTACATCTGCGAAACGACTTTTCAGGAGAGAGATTTAAAGATTCTACGACCGAAATTGCGCGATAATATTATGCATAAGGCTCAATTTACATTGCGGCGGAACGGAATGGAAGCGAATTTTTGTAACGATATTGTACATAGCATAATGAACTTTATGGTCACTTGTGTAACGTAAGAATTATCACGTCGCGAGCCACCGTCGGCGACGCCTGGCGGATCCGCGGGAAGTGGCGCAAAGACAGGCGTAGTGTGATTTGAAACGTCGACGAAATACTGCAGCCTCAAGGCGCTGTCGCTGGAATACTCGAGCATTTGCGGGAATTGACGCTTCCATTCCTTTTATTACTATTTTCCATTACAATTTCCATTACAATATATATATATATATATATATATATATATATATATATGTGTGTGTGTGTGTGTGTGTGTGTATATATATATATATATATTATATATATATATGTCTCTTTTTTTAGTATAGGTAAGCATTATTACACTTGAAATCGTCACAATGGTTAAACTCTACCGCTCATTCGTAAGGCAGATTCCCCTGAGAAGAATGAGCAAGAAACTCTAGGGGTTGCTCTTTGTAAATAACATTTGTAAACATTCAACATTATATTATATTATATATATATATATAATATAAAGTGACGAGATGGACAAAGTCGTGCGCCTTATGGTTAGCTACACGCCTGTCCATCCAGTTGCAGTATCACTCACAGCTTTAAATCGCAAAGACTTGAGGGGCACTGCCACTGCGCCCGTCACCCTGAGACGTAAGTTTACAAGTCTCATATGCCTGTAATTTCACCAGCACCCTTCAAATCCGAAACACAGTAATGCTCACATTACTGCTTGGCGGCAGAAATAGGAGCTCAACTGCTACAAAGTTTTCTTTCACATATCAGTTTGATGTATAACTGGATTATTATATACATACCTCAAGGTAGCTGTGCTGGCACTCATGATTGTAGACACGAGGGTGTTGATCTGCGCAAAGGAGGGGTTCTGGATGTGCAGGCGGTCGCTCGCGATGCGATTCAGCGCCGTGTTGTCCAGCACCATAACGCAGTCCGCGCTCTCTGTTAGCCGCTTCAGAGTCAACAGGGAGTTGTAGGGCTGTACTACGACGTCACTACGCACACAATTACACACTATTATATCATAATTTGTATAGTCCTTATTTACAACAAATTGTATAATGCCAGGTTTACAAGTCTTTTACTTGTGTTTTTCGCTTGCTTGCGTGACTCGCTTCGCGCATACGCAAACAACTGTCGCGTACGCGACACAACACACAACAACACAACACAGGATGTGATTTCTGAATGGATTGATTAGTTTCTATGTAAAAATATTTTTGTCTGTCAAAATAATTAAATTTGTTAGTAACAACGACACTAAACTGGCCGTGGTTTGGCACAGACGCAGGCTCGTGTCCTGTCAGAATTTTTCTTTGTGTTGTTTCTTTGTATTAATAATTATAACAAACTAATGGAGTAATTTCACAAAAAAAAAATTAATATCACAATGCTATTCAATAAAAATCAATATTACAATAATACAGCGACATCTCACGTCAGACTCTAGTAGCTAAGGTACCAGCTGAGTGACAAGCTTCATAGATTTCTCACAGGTGTCGCATATGGTGACTAAAAGCCAATACAATAGATCTGTAAGAAATACTTAGAGAAATTCATAAGGTCTGGTGACTCGATCTGTAGCCCAATTGGTAGAGTGGTGGCCGTGGTTTGGCACAGACGCAGATTCGAATCCTGCCAGATCGAAGGAATTTTTGTTTGTGTTTCAGTAATTTCACAAAAAATAAAATGAATGTCATCATGATATTCAACAAAAATCAAAACAACACAAAAGCATTCTCTTTGGATCGCCATTGAAACTTTATTTCATTCTGTGCATGGTTTAATAAACTTTTACAATACAGGGTGTTTTAATTATAAACGCCGAATCTAACAACATTCATTGACAAAACGTATCCAGTTTTTATGTAATCTTTGAGATTTTTAAATGGATATTTTAAAACCTAGCTTGAAGCTGACCCCGCAGGTAATACAGATATAGGATATATATATATATATATATATATATAGTTACAAGAAAAATAAATCGAAACTTGACAAGATCTGTCTACCCACGAAATAAACTGCTTGTAACCTTGTTCGTATATTAACTCTATATTTGTACTTAAATATTATACATTGTTACTAACAATTTGTGCTGTCTCTTTTGTTTTAGGGATCAACTTGTGCAAAATTTCTTTGATACTCCCTCTGAGTCAACGAACATACTTTCCTTAAACACCCCCTCTGTGATGTTTATGAAACTAACACATAACGGACACTGGCAGAATTGAGACAATATATTAGTCTCACAAGCCATTCAATAAGAAAAAAAAAGAAAAAACCTTATAAAGTTTATTAAGCTGATCTTCCAGTTTATCCATATGGATTTCATATTTACTAACCTTATTTCATCCAAGTTGGGGAAAACACTGTAAGTTTGCACCAGCTTTTTCGGAAATCTATCTGAGAGATGCTCAAGGATGTATGAACCCATGCCAGACCCTGTGCCTCCTGCTATTGAGTGGCATAGCACAAAACCCTACAGGAAAAAAATGAGAAACTGTGCATAAAGAAAAAATCGTAGTTGATTAATGTACCAAATACCAAAAGATAGTTTAGGTTGTTGTCTTCATGTAATATATGGATAACCCAATCACCCCTAAGTCAATAGTAACATGACTGTTGAGACCGTGAAATGAGAATTCATAACAAGTCACTACCCAGACGAGAACCAATTATATAATAAGTAGTTGTCTTGTAGAGACTGATAAAGATTCCAAGCAGGTATAAAATTTTCCTATCAGTATAAGCACTAAATGATTGTTACTAATTGTGAGTTTCATATTCTGGTAGGACTTGATATTATAGAAATATTATTTTTATTATTAAACTGACTTCATTCAGGATTCGTGCAGCTCACCGTCACTGCAACAATTAATCAACTCAAAGATCAAGAGTGTTACGAAATACGAAATTCCAAATCTGTCGCCTCCTTTAAACTAGCTTATAAGAAGTTTTTATTATTTACTCAATTATCTCACGACGCAGGGTAGTCGTGCTTTGCTTAGAAATTGACCAGAGCCAATTTGCATACTACATACTAACACTCCAAACTCTAGCACAAGGAAACATTTAAAAGGATTCAATACACTTAATATGCCTTCAATACACTTAAAATCACCTCACTTACACTACACATTGTATTATTTTTATTATCTATTTGTATTGGGATAAGTTTAAAATTTTTAATTTTTTAAACTTCATTTTTTAATTTTACCTTCTACTTAGATGAGGTACTATCTTTCTTTTTCTCCATTTATGGTTCCACTAAAAACCAGCAAAACGAGGCATCCTCCAACATATCCTTACAAAAAACTGAGTGGTGAACATTTTGGTAACATGTTATATGTAATTGTGTCTGTGTCTAATTTACTTTGTGTTTTATTTTGTCATTTTTAGTTTGTTACCAAATAAATTATTTTTCTTTCTTCTGTCATTTTTTTTATTAATGAATTGAAGAAATTTCCTGGCTTGAATTGTTTTTACCTCCTTAATCTCGCACTTTATATTGATCTCGATCAAGTCACGCCATGTCGTGCTAGCCCCACTGTAGTGCAATTCACATAACCAAACCGTTACAATATTGTAGCGATTTAGTAGTTGGAAGTGCTTTTTCGTATTCACATGTGATGGTCGAACTTCAACAAGTCCGATTTTAAAGTGTTTCGATCCAAATATCGTTAAAATGTACTCTGGTATATGAATCGACCAAAATCTTGACCAATTTCTTATTAAGTTGAAGAAATCTAGAACTAGTGACAGTCATTTAGTGAATAACTACCATGTCTAATGCAGACATTGACTTAAAAGTTTACTTAGTCATTTCTAGCTTAAACTTAGACTAATTTAGTTTGTAAATACAAAAAACTTACGAAGCTCGCCATTTTTGCTTAGTCGAAGTCAAAAGTTTTTTTATTAATCACACCCTTAAAATCAATATAGAGTGAGTACTAAACACCCGCAAAGTGTGCATGCATATTAGGTATGTGAATTTGTGTTATTCTGTCTGTTTTAGAGTAGCTAAGAACTTGTAAAAGTAAAAAACTTCAAAGAGGTCCATGTTACCTCCAAGTTGTCACTGCCATCAGCTTCCCGATTGATGATATCAAACACTTCCTCATTCAGCTTTTCTCCCTGAGCATATCCTGACGCCCAGTTATTACCAGCTCCTCCACCATGCTTTGACAGGTACACATTCTCTGGATTGTATAGCTGCAAGAGGTGTACACGATTTATCTAAGGATATTTGTCAATTCTTAAAAGATACAAACCAGTATTAATACCAAAATTTGCAAGTGTAATGGCACAATCTTGATGACTTCAGTGACTGTGGACACTACATGAGAAAGTCTTAGGTTCGATTTCCCGTAGGATCAATTTGAGAAATTAACTTTTCTGAATTGATTTCTCAGTTTTTTGCAGAGTTTTTTGCTTTAGCACAGGAATTTTCCTAGTATGAAATTAGGTAAATGATCTTGTTTGGCACATTACTATTATTTGTCCAGGAGATGCAAAACATGTTGCATAGACAGGCAAGTACTAAAAATTCAGTGATAGATAAATGTTACCTTACCTTAGCATATGGAGAGTTCATTATAGTATGAATTACTCGAGGTTCCAGATCAAGTAGCACGGCTCTTGGTATATAATGGTCATCGTCTGCTTGGTAGAAAAACACATCTTTACGATCTGAACCAGCTGACGCGAATTCCTCCAATATTCCTTCCGGAGATATGCCATGCTCGATACAAAGCTGCTTCCAAAACTCAAAGCCAACTAGAAAATACCACAGCACCAATTAAACACACGAAATAACGATATATAATTCAAAAAATAACCGAACACTTTCATGTTCTATACCTACTCTGATTGCCGCATTGGCCGAGTTGAAGTGTTATCATTTCACTTGGCATTTTGATTGTGTAATTATTACCGATAAATAATTACAACCGGCTATCTATTTATTCTGATAATCATGAATATATTTTGATGAATTTTCCAAACCCAAACAAAACAACCGCAGCTTCGTATAATTGTATTTTTCAGATTGTTTTTTTAGAGAAATACTTGTCTAAAGATGATACATTTCATTGGCCAAATTTTTCACTTTGTGCACTCAGACCAATCGTCGTAAAGGATATGACATGTCAAATTGAAATTTGGTAAAGAAGAACTACCTGATTATCGGTACTTATTTCTGCATTCAATTATAATATTATTCTACAGTGTATTGTTAATAACTAAAATGCGGATGCGGCTTTTATCAGCTAGATAATATTAAAAGAATACGCAAGGATCAACATTTAAAAAATAGTATAGTGAGCAGCCTATCTACGTTAATTTCTACTCTCCCGTCACTATCTCTCTTCCATCCTACCCTACTAAATAAAATATAGGTTTGATACTGGTTAAATACGTAGGATATATTAATCTCGAGAATGCTTGTTCTATGCCTTCCGGATTTCAAGTTTTATGAATTTTATGATAATCAAATTCTTTTTCTTAGTGCCTTATCTTCATAAAATTATAGTTTATCTGAACTGAATGCGTCCTTACTCAAATGTCAAAAAGTTTCGCAAGTTTCTTTCGTTGGTTTTGTGTTTTATTTCTACTTTTTCTTATTTTTATGCAAATGTGAATGAACAGTGTGCTAATTAGAACTTTTTCACCAATCATCCAGAATTGCTTACTGCAATCTTCAATAAAAAAAACCTTTATTTACGCAGAGGTAAGTCGAGCCCTACCCATAGTTGATGGCCTTCGTTTGCATATTTCTCAACTTTGTTGTCCAGCCTACGGTGTGAGAAGTTTTGTGGATAATGTCATCGTGGGCGGGACTTTCGTAAATGCAAGGTTCTTCTAATTCTCCCATAAGACAAAGCTACATTGTCTGAGTGTGACCCTCGAGTATTAACTATAGTTCCGTGTCGAACTGCTTGAAAGAAACACACGAATTTAAGTTTTATAAATAAACATTATGTAAGCTAACACACTCCATTAGCGAAACGGCGAAATCTAATTTACAATTCCAATGATAAATTACCGAGTGGACATTAGAAATTACAAACTTTATCTTCCTGATTTGTTGCGATTGTGCGTGTAAGGCGTCGAGCCGTCGTGAGGCGCAGCGAACATGCCGCGGAAACTGCTCAAATTCCTGATAGTGTTTGACAACACTTCCCTGCTCTACTTTCCTGGACAATTCCTGTCTGGGAAGGTGTTGATGGAACTACAGGATGACACTCCAGTCTTAGGTAAGTTTTTGTAATTTCTTAAAACTGCTCATGTAATCAAATTAAAATCATCTTTACAGGTTTCATGGTCACAGCTGACTAAAGTAAACTGTAAAATGCCTGAAATGTTGGTTTGTTTGAAAAAACTAGTATATGCAATTCAGATCTGAAAAAATAAGTTCATTTGCTATGTGTAACAGTCACGAAAACCTAAGTAAAAACAAAAAAAAGTTATTGTATGTTTTTAGAACTGTTTTTTCCAATTTTCTGTTTTTGCTCTACAAAGTTCAAGGCAACACTGTTCAATAGATTAATGATAATGCATCACACTTCACTGGTTAAAGTGTTACTAACTCTATTGTTTTTTATGTTCGTACATGATGAAGCAGAACTGCTTATTGGAATCTCATATGAATTTATGTGGAAAATGTTTTCATGAAATGTTCATACTTTTTATTTTCCATTATTAATTAACATGTTCACAGCCAAGCTGAAATTTAGAATAGACCACCACTGGCCAACTTTTGTTTAATTTTTTAACTTAATTTTATTGTACTCAAAATAAGTTTTTTTTTCCCTTTCTTTGTCCTGCGATCAGCCTTTCGGGCTATAAACAGATGGGTTGTATGAAGTTCATAATGGAAAGGGTGCTACTCCCAGTGGAGCACTGCCCTATAGGTTGTATAGTCAGGTATTTTACTAACTACCGTTGTCACACCGCGTTTACCATGGTACCGTGGCTTTTTTTTAGTCGTCGTATGCTTTCAGGCATGGTGAGCTGCTTGGCTAGTTGATTTGGGTGATGTTCTAGCAGAGTTCTGTATTTATCACTGTAGGAGGCTATTTCTTCTCTAAATGTCAAGAAATTCGTGGATCTCCATTGTTTTTATGAACCCTGGCACATTTGATATCTGTCGGAGTATATTGCTCTACACCCTTTGGATAATCATTATATTAGAGGTACTAGCAGCGCCCCAGAGTTGTATGCCATAAGACCAAATTGGCTTTAGTATTGCTTTGTAAATTAGAATTTCGTCCAATCAGCCAGAGGAGTCCTTTGAATCTCAAATTGATCTCATCTCATCATCATTTGGTTTGGATGTGTTTCTTCCAGGTAAGTCTGCGGGCCAAATGCATTCCCAGATATTTCACTGTATTCTGGTGTGGGAGTTGCGCGCCATTTAAGGTGACCGGTGGGCAGTCTTCTTTGCGGAGAGTGAATTTGACCTGTACTGATTTAGTCTCACTAGCAGCAATTCTCCATTTTGCTAACCAATCCTGCATTTCGGTTAAGCTGCTTTGAAGGAGTCGGGATGCTTCAACGGGACATTTACTTGAGGCTAGTAACATCGTGTCATCAACGAAGGTAGCAACGGACACTTTGGGTTTTGTGGCAGGTCGACTGTGAAGAGTGTGTACAGAACAGGTCCAAGCATGGAACCTTGTGGAAAACCTGCAGAAATTTCATGAAATCCTGATGTGTGGTCGCTATCCCTAATTTGAAATATTCTGTTACTACTGTATAAGCTCTGGACTCCATAGAATGTGTGTGGCAGTAAAGACTTTATTTTATATAGCAACCCCTAGAGCCAATCCTTATCAAAGGTTTCATGCATGTCAAGGAAAGCCGATGAGCAGTATTCTTCAAAATAAGTTAAAATATTATTTATTCAGGGTGTCCCAAAACTCAAGGTGAAGCAGGCACCTGGCGAGAGGCCAGAGTATGTCAATTCTGGTAAAAATAAAATAAAAAATCCATATCATTAGTTAAGTGTGAGTCAAATTAATAAAATTTGTTGGTTGTTGTATAATAAAGCTTATTCAAAAATAAACAAAAAGGAATTATTGTATTATTAATACTTTTATTGCATTAGTTTCTCTACCAGGCTAAAGTAAATAAGAATATTTTTGGGCTTTAATGACATTGATAATAATCAACAACAACAAACAAACAAATATTATGTAACACCAAAATATTATAAAAATAACATTGACATATGGCATATAAATTTATTAAATATACTTAAATAATAACAAGTCAATAAATTTTACTGTCTTAATTACTTTCCATATGTAACTTTCCACTTGTTTCATGCATGTGGGAAATAATTTGTTTTTTCGTAGAGAAAATTCTTATTGTTGTGTAAAGAATAGCAAGATTTTTTGTGCCATCAAACCATTGTCAGAAAAATGTGTTATAATAGTTTTTGTCTATCTATTACTATTCATAACGAAATATTGTAATATTTATTATTTTATTGATAGAAAGCAAAGTGGAAGTCACGAGGATAAGTTACATAAACAATGTGAAAGTGTAAAGAAATGTGGTGTGGTATCGGGAGCCATAAGAGAGAGTATAACTAAACTATTGCAACATGTATGCCTACTTATGGATACAATAAATTATTATTATTAAATATGATTAAAAAAAATGGCAAATGTCAAGCGTGAAGCTTCATTCGCGTTATTTCACAGTAATTGTTTCAGAAGCAAGTGGAAGGTTATCTCTACCTAGCCCGATAGGAATAGGGCGTGAAGTGTACACATGTTTATTTACAGAGCAACTCTGCAAAGAGCAACCTGCTTTACAAATGATTGGTAGAGTTTAATCAATGTGACCATTTGAAGTGTAATTTGCTTACCAATGAAATAAAGATATATGTATTTCAATTTTTATTGAATTGATGTTAGTTTTTTTATGATATTACTCCACTAGTTTGTTATAATTATTAATTCAAAGATTGAACACTTAGAAAAAAATCGTTCGATCCGGCTGGATTCGAACCGACGTCATATAGTAAACCGTATCAAACGCTATGCCAACTAAGCCACGGCACGTACCAGCGGACCTCACGATATTCTCTATGTGCTAATTGTCGTATCTTTGTATTTGGTTTTTCAACTTTTTATCCGTAGCGCCATTTATAAGAAATCTATGAAAGATAAATATGAATATATATGCTTGAGATGGAGTAAACGTATTATATGTACGTATGTGTCGCTTTAATTTTGTGTTTAATAATTGTTGGTGTCTACATTAGTGGAGTATTAAGTGTAAATAGCTTCTTGCAGTAAACATATTTGTTACAGGTCTACATTTTCATGTAGTTGGTGAAGGGGTGGTGAGGGTAGGGTCAGGAAGACACGAGAGACTTTACGACAAAGAGAACTACATCGACTTTAGGATGCGCCTTCTTGGCGAACCAGGTAAGACTGAACCATTATTAGTAAACATCGTTTGACATTTGACAGACCAGGCAAAGAATGATCAAAGTCACCTAAAAACATGTTTTGAGTTAATACCTCCATCGAGTTCTCAAATTAGAACAAGACTAATAAGGTTGTAAGTGTCTTGAAAAATTAGCTTTTACTTTTAGGCATAAAATAATAATAATACACACACACACAAATGCAGAAAGCGGTCCTGTTCGATACGACACGTAGTTTTTCGCCGGTTCCTGAACCTGAATCCCTGAACCCGGCCGACTGTGCCATTGCCGGGGTATACCGCCTCTCCCATTTAAATATTCCAAATTAATGTTTTAGACCATGCGAGAAGCGAGAGTCTAATATAAATATCTTTATTTATCTTCACAATAGGGTGATTATATATTTTTTTTGTTAAAATGGATTACTTAATATCTTAGAAATGAAAAATTATTTTATCCTAAAATTGTCCTCTACGGATTTGTTATTTTCCTTAACTCTTCGACTTGAATCAAAATTTTTGAGCTCTGCAAAAAAAAATTAATATATTTCAGGACACGGTACATCAATACTCTCCCCGGGTATTCACAGCTTTCCATTCAAGCTAGGTCTACCGATGGGACTGCCATCCACGTTCCTTGGCACACATGGATGGGTGCAGTACTACTGCAAGGCGGCACTACGGGAACCCAACGGATTGACGCATAAAAACCAACAAGTTTTTATTGTCATGAACCCTATTGATTTGAATCTGGAGCCTCCTGTGTTAGCTGTAAGTATAAATTAATATTTCTTATAACGTAGCCAAGATTGCGAGCAAAGATGCCAATGGCTATCAATGCGGTTAGTTTGCAAAAGGTGGCCCTGTACGCCGCACAGTATTAGGCACACACACACCCAGACTCAGACACACACGTACACACACATGCACGCGCGTACACACACATACGCACAGTAATTTGATGTTCAGCACTTTCTGTTTCTTTAATTATAAGTTTTTTATTAAAAAAACATACACAAAACAAACAATTCCCGTCTTCTTTTTCTTTTAAATGTTATGGCCTCATCGTAGTAATCCATGATTTTGCCAATGTCGAGTCTGTGCTGAGTCTTTATCTGTTTTGTCCACTTTACTGTTTTATTGTTTAATGATTTTATTAAAAAAAAACAACAACAAAAAGCAAATCATCGCCTATCACCGAAAGTCCATTGTAAAATATAAACAGTTTTCGTCTCCTGCTGTGTGGATTCGTCGTCAATTTAAGGGCGCGAGCAGTATCATCAGGAGAATCTGTACTATTTTTCAAAAGTCCTTTTGAAACGAGATTAGGAAGATCAGTTTTAAAATTAAGTCAAAAGCTTTGTAAGAGGCTGAATCGCTAACCGCAAAAAAGAAATCTTTACATTACGCATAGTTTTCTTCGCTATTTACACGTCCTAGCAACGTTTGTTACATTTAATTTCATTTACCAATTAATTTTAAGGATAATGTGATGCAATCAATGAGTTGTTATTAGATATTAATAAAACTGCGTAAGACACAACCTATAAATAATATTTGTTCATACCATTTGCATGTGCTAATTACGTTATTGTACGGCCTTGTTGACATTCCGTTACGACGTAAAATGATAGCGTGGACCACTTACATAACAAACATACGTTGAAACACCTGTGCACATTCAAGGATCCCTTGCGTAACTTAACTGGTAGACTGGCTCAGCCCTTACTTACGCGTTAACTTACACTTGTATGGTTTCCACCGTTACGTCATGCGTGACTTGCTTTTCAAACCCAGACAGGTATTTTAGTAGCAGTGGAGCTCCTTGTGAAAGAGTTTGTCCAGAGAAGTACTGCCACCTTACCTATTTCTCCCGCCAAGCAGTAATATCAGCATTACTGTGTTCCGGTTTTGAAGGGTAAGGGTGCTGGTGAAATTAGAGGCACACGGGAATTGTCAACTTACGTCTCAGGGTGACGGGCGCTGTAGCAGTGCCGCTGAAATCTTTGCGATTTAAAGCTCTGAGTGGCGCTGCAATTGATATGGACAGGCATGTAGCTTACCATCAGGTGCACGACTTGTTCGTCCCGTTACTTTATTCTAAGTGTTGGATCTTTATATTAAAAATTATAAATTACACATATCATCGCCTTACTTTCTCAGGGTCGTATTCCAGAACTCTACTCAATACTCAAGTCAGGACTTGAGTATTGCAGTGAGCACTGAAAATCATACTCAAGGCCTTGCCATTAGGGTCGTATTTCCAGTGCTTGAAATCATACTCAAGTCAAGTCAAGTGTGCTCAAATCCTGACTTGAGCATTGAGTAGAGTTCTAGAATACGACCCTAAAACTCGTATCTTAAAGCACAAAGTTACTGAAATGCAAAAAATGGCATTCACACACTGGCTTTTACCTATTCTTAAATTTATGCAACCAAATTAATACTCTTGATAAGAAATTTAATGTAAATAGAAAGTATTGCCATCTCCTGAATAAGTTCACTTTTTATTTTTATGGCTCCATCAATATGAGAACTGATGATTTTGCCAATGTCACAGTTGAAAGAAAAAAAACGAAACAAAAAAAAATTTTCGCTAAGCTCTAATAGGACATTAACCGGTGTTGGTAAGTTGGAATACGGGAGTACTCAGTTGAGAATGTAAAACAAAACAGCAAAACAATATTTATAAATATATCTCCTGAATAAACACTTATAAGATACGAGTTTGAGAATGTCAAATCGGCATCGACATATCGACATGTCAAATTTTATAATGCTTCTATTTGAGCATAAAAAGTTATCGACTAGTTTGATTACGCGATAACTTTTTTGTGAACCGATTATGATGATTCTTTTTTTTTTTTGTTGAAAGGGGTACCACGTTAGTGATCCTATTTAAATTTGAAGAAAATATTCCACCTCTAAGGGTGGCAAACTAGGGGATGAATCCGGTTTCACGCACGTTCCGGTGACCGATATCAATGACACTTGACAAACAGATGTAATTCTACGAACTTTTGAGGTCGGTTTTTTAGTACTCTATACTGGGATTATTTGTCGTATTAATGTTACGTCTGTCACTATTATTCATTACAAAATTAATATTTTTCTTAACATAAATACGATCTCTCAATAGAGCAGCAACCGATATCCCACTAGGCTACCACCGCTATACTACAAGTCAGTTGAGTAAATCGTCATCTAAATAAGGAGTTATCATGACTGTGGCGTCACAGTACATTTATTGAAATATTTTGTTTGCTCGTAAATATATACATAATTTCGTTAAGAAAGAATATATCCATAATATTAACCTTAGAACTAAGTCCAAACTCATGGTACCACGATTTCGTTTAACTAAGGTAAACGATTCTTTTATGGCGAATTGTATACGTTTTTACAATAAGATTCCGGATAATATATTAAGATTATCATTTCCTAAGTTTAAAACTTTTTGAAAAGTCATAATACTGAAGAGCATGTTTTAGATAAAGATGTATGGAAAGACAACGTGAGTCAAGATTCCACACAAATATGATTCAAAATGTATTCTATAGCATTTAAGTTTATTTCTAAAGAGCAATCCCTAGAGTTTCTTGCTCGTTCTTCTAAGGGAGGTCAGCGTAGTGAACGAGCAGTAGCTTCAAAAATGACGTTGTAAATGATTATTTGACTTTGACGTCTTTTCCAGCAACAGTTTGAGTGCAGCGTGGAGCATCGGCTGGGCGT